TTAAATCCCTATCTAGATTATTAGATTTGGTTACTGTTTTTATTTCTATACATCCGAACCTCCTACCCACTTCGTTAACACTACATCCTTAATCTATAATTACACAAACTGACTAGTTTTCTAGTAATTATAATCTTATTTTGTCTTTTCTACCCGATCTTCCTGATTATTACACACTGAAATTTTTATTCTGACCTCTGACCGGAAACCATTCTGGAACTTTCTCACACATGTTGTAATACAAATATACAAACTCCTAGTTGATGACTTCGTTGAAAAGAAAATTTTCTTCGTTGCAACCATCTTGACTCTGCAAGAACTGGCGAGGAATCATGCTCCTGTCGACGCCAAGTAAAATCCTGAGTCGCATCATCCTGGGGAGAATAAAGGAGGCACTAGATACAGAACACGACCAGAACAAGCTGGATTCAGGAAAGGCAAATCATGTTCTGACCAAATTGCAACTCTACGCATTATCATCGAACAAAGCATGGAATGGCAATCAAATCTCTACCTCAACTTTATAGACTTTGAGAAGGCCTTCGACAGCGTTGACCGCGAAGTAATTTGGAAACTACTCGAGTTAAAGTAGTTTTGCAGCAGCGGAAGTGGATAAGAGAATTTCGTAGAGGAATTATTTATTTATTTAGAACTACATACTACTGATTGGTTGAGAAAAGTAGTAGCATACCAGTCATATCAATCAATAGTGCTTGACAGTTAGTCAGATCGAAGTGGTGTCAACACTGGACGGCTGTTTCGCTTATTTGGGTGGGACGCGGTTTGACATAGCTCCGAGAGTGGAATCAGTTCAAGCCAGCCAATTTCTCGCTATGAAGAAAGTGGAGATGAATGGGACACACGCGCCACTGAGGAGACTGTCCAATGACACTGAGAGTCAGGCCACCACTTGAGTGGGACGCGAATAGAAAATGACGAGTTGGATGTAGGTTAAAGGTTGACATGGAAGATATTGTGTGATGAGGAGGAGATGAAAGTATAGAGGCAATCGTGGGGCCAGCTGAAGAGTACAGCAGGGAATACGCCAAAGTGGAGATGTGTCATTGAAGGCCTACGTTCCACTCGAAACTCAAGGGGGAATAATAATAATAGTAAATGCTATCATTGAAAGTGTAAGCGCTCAAAAATAATAATATCGTTTATAAGTTTAAGGGATTATAAAGAAGGTCATGACAAAGAGTATGGAACCACTGCCGATGAGTCCCAAACAAGAACGAAACAGCTGTCCAGTACTCCCTGGTTTTTAACAGTTCTCTTACTGATATCAATCCGTGGGCAAATTTGGGAAACGAATAAAATACCTGTAAATCAACTCTAGGCCACAGCAAAAAAACGGGATTGGACTAAACGCTTCTGGATACACGCAGTTCAGAGTTGTCTTTGTATATGACATGAGTTTCCTCTGTGACCGAAAAAAACTCTTCAAGAAACCTATCCCTACCCTACACATATGTTGCAAAGTTGAAATCGAGTGACATAGGGTGAGAAATTACAAAGAAGAATCAGTTTTCTCAAGATTGCAAATACGCCTTACTGGTGTGTGTCACAAAGGATAATTTTCCAAAGGCTTTCTGGATTTCGAGAACATGTAAACTAATTTGAAGATACTTAACATTTAAACATGAATTCCATGCTTATTCATGACTAGTTGTCAGGTGGATTGTTCGAACGCGTAATCGAACGCGCGTGGACGAACCAGTTAATCATCGATGCCAAGCAATGAGATAGTGGGGTGAGAGCTGTCTCTGCTAGCCAAAATTGGTAGACAGCAATTTACGTCAATCTTTACGTCCCATATCTTGGTCATGAGAAAAAACAAAACAAAAACGAAGACTAACTCAACAACCAATCACAGCAGACTTTGTGTGGGCGGATACGATTCGCAGATAAATATATGGTCTGACCTTCAAAGAAAGGGCCACAAAGAGATAACAGAATAACTTCCAGTGAGAAAACGACCAATCAGAAGACGCTGTTTCTCTGCTAACAATAGCGCTAATAATAATGTACATAAAAATATATAAATATCTCTTGATTTCCTCATTAAACGATCTGTTGTCTGGCCCTTGTTTTCTGTCGTTACAATAGTAATACACCAAGAACAGCTGACAACAGTTAGGACTCATATTTTATTGAATACCAACCTGCTGCAAATATTTCATTGCAAGGAGTACAAGAAACCCATGATATATAAAACATTCATGTCGAATCTTCCGACACCTACACATAAATATATCAATTTAAAAAATGCATACAAGCCATTTTAAATATTAATCTTTTTTTAAAATATCGTAGACTTGAAGTAACTTGGCGGATGGTAACTATTAGTGGAATTAAGAATGAGCATTTCGTCCCATTCGGGACTCATCAGCTAGTGGATGTAACTGCATTTCCCCCCAGTTATTGACAGCGTTCTCAATGAAGCTCAAAACCACCAAAATTACTGCAAGTTAATCCTTGAATACCGTCGAAGCACTCGCGCTCTAGGAGCCGATACGTCAACAGAACCTGATTCAACTCAGTTCAGTCAATCAACCGGAATATCAAAATTGAAATAAAAATTTAAAAACTACCATGGACTGGTTATTAGAGAATCTGTTTTATTACTTAAGTTATTGTTTGTTTTTACATGAACATATGGCTGTGAGCCGTAATCTCAGCAAATTACTCCACACCGCAGATGAAACCTATCCAGTAGGTTAACTATCACGATCAAAGATGTCAACGAAATCCTTATTCCAAAAAAATATATTTCATTTGTCAGATGACAGTGACTATGATACAGAGCCAATGACAAGTTTAAAGTTGGAATAAAATACAATAAAACCAAACAATGGGGTCTTATTCGATAGGTTGAAGAATGGAGGTCGATGGGAGTGGGTTATATTTCCCCCATGATGGTAGACAGAGTTCAGACATGTGGAGTGGAATGAAGTGGAGTTTAAGACTGCTTATGAACCACAAATCTGAAATGTTTCAACAGAGCATAAGTGATTTCACTGAATATCTTATATATATCTTATATATCTGTTTATCTCATATCCTTAATGAGATTTCTCAACACATTATTATTAACATTACTAAATCAGCTAATTATACATTATTTGCTTTCATGAACAAAATATTCAGAGGGGGGACTCTTTTCAAAAAATCAGAGGGTTTTTTTTAAAGAAATTATACTCAGTGGGGGAATTGAATCAAAGGTGTGAATACATGAAATAACAATAATAATAGAAGTATGAAATTCAATTAAAATATTTGTGATTATAATCATAGTTAAATGTCAAGTGGCAAAACAATTAATGTCATATATAGAATCATACATAAGGTGTATAAATGTTGGAATGGGGTGTATAATTATAGGCTTAGTAGGCTAATATAAAACGTTACATAACATTTTGTGGAATTTGATAAGATAGAATTCAATATTGTAAAAAGGATTTTTTGGATTTAGAATGACAAAATGGAAACAGTTCAAAGTAATGATAATAATAATAATGATTATCGTAGTAATGAGGGAAAGGTAGATAGAATAACTAAATAAACAAAATAAATAAATAAATAAATGTCTATTCCTCTATGGCCAAGGCAGAAGTAGGGATTGTACATACCTCTTTTGTACACAAAGGTCTGGCTTACGTTCATGAATGGTCAAAGCCTCCGCTATCTTTAGAAGTTTAGGACGAAAACGCGGCAAGCTATCATGGATTCGATAGATGATCTTAAAATCATGGTCACGGTTGGTAGAGTGACAGGAGTTGATCAGGTGTTTTAGAATAGAGCTGCACACACCCTTCCTTTTTCCCTTGTAAAACCATTCTGGAATATGTTCTCGTATCTGTGCGGAAGGTGTCCTCTGGCTATGGGCAATGTACCTTGCTCCACAAGAGTAGGCGAACTGATAGATGAACATGGAGCTTAACTTTTACAGAGATGGACAACAACTTGTGGCTGGTGAATGCCGTTAGTAATTTTGTTGCAAAGGACGTTTCACTGACTGAAAGACGGTTTTTGAGTATAACTGCAGCTTGATTACCTTTGAATTCCAAATTCAAGAATTTGGTTTTCTATGGAACTGAGTTGGTGACCAGTTTAGACTGCTTATCTTTCATGTTGCTATCAATAAATCGGTTCAGGTAACCGTTTTCTGCGAGCGTGGCTTTTAAGAAGGCAAGTTCTGAGTCAACGCAATCAGAACTACAAATGTTTCTTATCCTAAGGCAAAGTGAATGAATTAAGTTTCTTTTTCTGGAGATAGGCACCAAACTAACTATAAAAATTAGTTAGTTGTCCATTCCATGCACGTTGACATTTAGCTATCATTATAATCACAAATATTTTTAATTGCATTTCATACTGCTATTATTATTGTTATTTCAAGTATTCACACTGTTGATTCAATTTCCTCAATGGGTATAATTTCTTTAAAAAAACCATTTATCTGTATGATTGTACAGCTTCATAATTAATTCTTTGTTGAAAACAGTCTCTTCGCTGAATATTGTGTTCTTAATGTTACAATAGGAATTATTAAATTATTTTCAAGAGTTAATTTGTGAGTATTTTATTTTATTTCACGTTTCACCACGGATTGATATCAGTTAGAGAGAATCATTAGAAACCAGCTGGGAGTACTGGACAGCCAGCTGTTTCGTCCTACTTCCAGTAAGAAGTCGTGACTAGTAGGGCCCATCCAGTCAACAGTGAGAACAAATACTCGCCACCGATGCCATTGACTGATATTCGCGCTAAAACTACGAATTGTTCAAAGTTAGAATTCATGGACTGGCTAGCCATTGAGCAGTTGGCTGAAAAGTCAACAAACTTGACTTCGTCGTACTGCCAACTGGCTATCCAGCACTCCCAGCTGGTTTTACAATGCTTCTCTAACTGATATCAAACTGTGGTCAAAAACTTGAGTTATTTTTTTTAACAGAGAATCATAAAAGAAAAATGAATAAATTAACAAAGGCACTAACCTGTTTGTAACGATCAGGATAATTTTGAAAATTATAATGAAAGTATGGAGGATTAGGATTTGTATAATCATAACACCATTCATTGAAATGATTACCTATATCGAATCCGCTGAGAAAGAGAAAAACAAATAAATCAATAAAAGAAAGTATGAAAAGATAGAAAACAACAATTTAAAACTACTGATAGTCACTTAATTCAAGTGAAACATTGATTTATTCAACTTTATCGTAGATAATATGGTGTAGAGGTTGATTGATTGTTAGGCTTTCCTCACCAGCCAACATCAGTTTCGAGGGATTATTGAAAAACAAGGAGCACTGAATAGCTGTTTCGGCCCATTCTGAGACTTTTCAGCATGGCACACCCACAACCCTCCCTCCCGGGTGTAGAACCCGGGAACTACAGGTTATGAGACCAAGTTCGTTGGTCGAAATCCCCCCATTATTATTATTGTTCTCTTGGGTTCCTAGTGGAACATAGGGCTTCAACTACACGTCTCCACTTGCTTCTGTCTTCTGCTGTACTTTTCACCTGCATCCATGTTAGTCCATACTGTTTCAACTCTCCTTCACACGATCTCCTCCATGTCACCCTTGGACGTCCCACTCGCCGCCTCCCTTTCGGGTTCCACTCGAGCACTGGCCTGACGCGCGATGTCACCCAGCGGCCTCCTCAGCCAGTGAGTGTCCAATCCATCTCCACTTTCTCTTGCATATTTGTTGGGTGATTGGTTCTTGTTTTGTTTGTTTCCATAGTTTCTTGTTGATGATTCTTTCCGGCCATCTGATCTTCAGTATAGAGCCAGCGAAGACAGCTATTGATAAAGGTCTGCAACAGGCTGTTGGAAATATTCTTTGTGACCCGCCAAGTTTCTGATCCGTATAGAAGAACTGACTGAATTGACGTTTGTATTGAAAATCCAAATTTTGTTGTTGAGTGTTGCTGAGTGACGAAGATTTCCAGATGTGTTTCAGGTTGATGAATGTGTTTCTCGCCTTCCCGATTCTCGATTTGACATGCTCGTCCGTTCCTCCTTGTAGTTGAGACAATGCTAGTTGCCTAGATAAGTGAATGAATTAACCTCTTTCAAATCCCTCACGTTGATGGTGATTGGCGTTGGATGTTGCTGTTGTTGTTGGTTGGTTATTTTCCGTCTTGTCTATGTTCATCTGAAGTCCTGTTTTTGCTGCTTCGTCGACCAGTTTGTCAGTTTTCGCTTGTAAGTCTTCGATTTCGTGTGCCATAAAACATAAATCATCCGCGAAATACAGGTCTTCTAGGTTCTTCGCGTCGTTCCAGGATATTCCTGTCTTCTCGTTTCCCACTGTCTGACGCAGTCCCCACAAATCCTATAATACAGCCGAATTATTAACGCTTTCCCCAACAGTTAAAAATATCTTATGAGAATGTTTACAGTTAGGCAGGGTTAGTGTATAGACTTTAAGTGTAGTTGATGTAATACAGATATGGGAATATTGAACAAGCAAGCTTTTCGTGTAGGGTGGACTATACAACATATTCGAAAGAATTGAAAACGTGAAATTGATTCAATGATGAACAGTGTATGGTAGAAAGTTAAGAATCACAATAAGATGAGCAATGATGTTGATTTGTTACACAGTACCCACTTAAGATGCCAGGCAGGTGGCCATGGAGTCACACCTATTTGTGTGAGGGCTAGTAATACTATTTTGCTGCTCAAGCCTTGGTAGGACAAGAGGGGGATTGAACCTGTGACCCACTAGGCGACAGCATATAGCAATGAGTCACAGCTCCAAGTATATAAAAATGTTCAATGATCAAGGAAAGAGGCTCAGAGAAGAGTTGTTCTCTTCGACGACATCCTTCTCAAGCTGTACAATCGCATATATATATATATACATATAGTTAATTTTCTTATCAACCAAATGAAGATTTCCAAACATTTGTCATCAGAATTGTAAATTTTAGTCATTAAGTCATGTAACGTAGAAAGTGTCAATAGCGTAGAAACTAAAGTGAGATTAAATAAGCAAGTTGAGTGGCGTAATCTAGTTGACGGGGTTGAGTAGAACTCAGCCAAAATTAAAACTGAACAAAAGTCAAGTTATCAATAGTGGTGGTAAGAGGTAGAGATCCAATAAGGGGTGGGGGAAGAAAATATTATACAATTAAGAAACAAACAAGCAAGTAAAAGACGAAACAAGAATTACCTATTTGGTGTTAAGATAGATCAGGTTCACTGTAGATTTAATGACTGAACAAACTTTTCTATTGTATGCAGAGTTCAGGATTTAACATGTGAATTGTCATTGCTTCTGCGGTTTGAAGAAGTTTGATTCGTACTCTTTAATAGCAAGATCCCACGTGTTCTATAGATAACTTCGAAGTTACTTTGTGCCTTTACTTGATGTCCCGATTCGATGAGGTGTTCCAGAATAAAGCTTGAGGAGGGGGGACCTTTTTTCTCCTTTATAAAACCATGAAGGTAACTGTTCTCAACATGTACCGAAAAGCCTGCGTCTCAAGGGAACAAACACTTACAATAGTGCCATTGCCAGATATCTACTAGACACAGGGTAGTGAGGTGGACGTCACAAGATCGTTCAAAATGATCAGTAGACCAATTAGTTCAATTCTGCTAAAGTTTCCTGAAGCAATCACCATCAGACGCCTGCAACCCAACTAACATGTTCGGAAAAAAGCAGTTACCAGTCTTCCCTTGCTCTTTTCTGGCAGGTAACTCGATGTCTTCACTCTCCCTCTATCTCTTTATTTGATTACGCAATCTCTACATTAAACCACTTCCCCCTCCTTTTGCATAGTGCAACTTTGCTAGTCTCTTGTTTCCATGATTTGAGCTGAACTCACCATATTGTTGTTACCCAATTTATTAGTTACTCATCGTCTTACTCCACCTCTTGTCTATACTACGTCAATCTTGCCAGTGTATCCAAACATTTCTAATTTTTGTTGAAACTTGAACTCCCTGGATAAAAGCTTTATAATAAATGTACTTTCTGAGTATTTGAATGTTGTCAATAAAAATTCACTTCACTTGTGAGGAAGACAACAGAAAGATGCTTTCCACACCAAAACGATGTGTGGATACTTGAAGGGAAGCCTCTTTAGTAAGAGCATTCGGACTGGTCAGCATGTCCATTTTCATATTTCCACATCCACCAGAGAAATTTAGTTAAGTGGCTTGACTATGGAATAAGATGTAAATGTCCACACGAATGCACGAATACGGGAATTCGTAGACTGAAGTGTATACTGCAAGGAAATGGGTAGCCACAGGATGTTTTAAAAAGCACATTTCGACATCTAGAGGAAACATGGCTCGAGTTAAAAAGGTTGAATCGAACGACAGAACATTCCCTGAAGCTAGGATGGTACTCAGTTTCTCAACTAAACCAGTACTCACACAGACACTCAAGGATAGACTACTAATGACGGTTTCATCAACGTGTATCTAGGACTTCAACTACATCTGTGGATCTAGCTTCAAAGACCGTACTCAGACTGCTTTATCCATGAGTGCATGTGAACACGTACCGCGATTGTAGGGTAAAGGAACTAACAAATGCATAAATAGTATGGTCCTAGCTTATTCAGTGGATGGTGGGCATCAAATTAAACCGGAGCAGGCGTTCGCAGTGATGTACTGTGTCCTTCTGGTAATGTACACACACCGATTAAATCTACTAGTTACTGAAACGACAGCGATCAATACCAGATGCATGTTAAACCACTTCGTATACCTTTTGTCCTACAACAAGGTCAACAAATCCTTCATTAAAATATTGATAATTGACAAGTTAAACATCAATTCCCTCCTTTTCTTTTCTTCTTTTGTTTAATCGATAAATTTTTAATTCTTAATTATTTACGACTTCATGTCTGTTTACGTTATATTCTTAAAAAAATTTCTTGCTATATATAAACAATCCTTTTGATTCCACTTTGTTAAACTCTTCATTATCTGATAATTGTTCACCAATATGTTGGCGTGATACAGATTAGCAGGAAGCTGACAAGCACTGAAATCAACACCCTGAGTCAATGAATGCAGTAGAATTAGCCGTGTTTATTCCTCAAATCTGGATTTAGTTTGCATTGTGGATATGAAATAATCTCATTGGACAATTTGTTTAACCTTGGACCGATTTCCAGCCAATCAGAACAGTTTATTCTCTTTTGATTTAGATGAACTTTAATAATGTGGCTGAGAATGCATAAATCTGATGTGTTTTTCCTTGATAAAGGCATGTTGCCAGCTCTCCTGTCTTCTCGTATTACAATAGTACTTTTGCGTTAACACTAACACCACATTATTATTATCATTATTATTATTATTATAGTTATTTGCCAAAGCTCATATTACGTCTAGCATATGCCAATTGTGGGTTTATTTTTTTAGAAGTATTCATATTCTCTTTCATACCACTGAGTACGACCCACCCCTTGAAATCTACACTTTTAGTTAATTATAAATATATAAACACGCCATGGCATCATTTAGTTTCATTTTATCTCAAGTTCTTATTGAGTACACATTTTGTAGGGATATAATTGGCAATCAAAACTCACTACTACTCTATCTTGTATTTGTATCAGGATATACTTTCTAATAATAATTCTAATTTTTCTTTAGTGGCTATTGTATGCTTAAAATTAATGGATTTATTATTATCAAGTGTTGATTTCCAGCGATTTGATTGGTTCACAAAGTTTGATCACGAGCTGGTATGGGTTGCAGAACCATCAGAAAACCAACAGGGAGTACTGGACAATTGTTTAGCTTCGGTACCAACCAGGAATCAAGCCCCGAGGACCTCTCGGTTACGAGGAGAGCTCGTAGACCATTCGGTGGGTGTCCATCGCTGAAGAGTCATAAAACTAGGACGAAACAGTTGTTCAGTAGTCTTTGTTGATTTTCCAATATGCGATGAAACTGACGACGTTACCAATGGAATCCCAGCAAACCGACACCACTTGATAATTATAATCCGATGATCACTAACGCGACTAGCTCTATCCATACAACAAAAGTTATCTGCAGTTTCAGTGAAAAGTCGTAACCAGTGGGGTCCATTGAGTCAGGTAAGAGAATAGTTACTAGCCTACGACATTGATATAAGTATAAAACTTGGGTACTGTAGTAGAGTATAACTCCATTATGGATAAGATTTTATTTTGATAAATCACACACAGTGGTGTTATACAGTAATATTAACTGATGACCACCTTTCGAGCACAGTTTATCACTGCTCACAATCATATCAAGGCACTACTCACACAACTTTCTTGCTTCATTTGTATACATGAGTGAAATTGATGATTAGACATTTGAATAAAAATCAATATGGGATAGTGTACATTCAGAAATAATATGAGTGTTATCAATCAATTACAATCGGATTGGAAATAGAACGAGTGTTTTTATAGTCAAAATAAGTAACTTCTTAGAATGTTGCGATGTACGTGAATTGAGATAGAATTTTAAGATTATTTATTATCCTCCTCTGATTCGGCTGGTGGTAATAATATCTTCTATGGATATCCCTGGTATTTGCATTGAGTCATTTCTGTTGCCTGTGTGTAGACTCAATGAACCACGCAGGATTCAGTAATCGATCTCTCTCTATCTCCACCTACCTATATTACTTAGAATTTTAACCTCTCCCACCTTATTGTGTGATTGTGTGTTAATTCATGCAGTGCAATGCATTAACACACAATAAGGTGGGTGGGAGAGAGTCAAATTTCTAATAACAAACTACTTCACTTACCTACCTGGGAAGCATCGTTTCAACTACAGGCGACGGAACTGACGAGGACATCAAAGCAAGAATCGGAAAAGCAAGACAAGCTTTCACTACTCTCAAGTCTGTGTGGAAGTCAACAACACTCAGCATCAAAAATAAGATCCGGATTTTCAACTCCAATGTGAAGTCAGTGCTACTTACTATACGGATCAGAGACTTGCACTGCGCGTCATAAAGAGCACATCAAACAAACTACAGACCTTCATCAACAGTTGTCTTCGCTCAATACTCAAGATCAGATGGTCATAAAAAATCAGCAACAGGGATCTCTGGCAATGAGCGAACCAACCAGGAACCGATTGTGAAACAAATATGCAGAAGGAAATGGAGATGGATTGGCTGGCCATACTCTGAGGAAACCATCAAGTGACATCACTAGACAAGCCATTTCTCGAGTGGAACCCGAAAGGGAAGTGGCGAGTTGGTCGTCGGTGGAAGCGTGACTTGGAGGAGGTCATGTGAAGAGGAGATGAGAGCGTGTGGGCAGACATGGAGCCAGGTGAAGACTCTAGCAGAGAACCGAAGGCAATGGAGACGCACGGCTGAAGCCCTATGTTCCTCTAGGAATTAAAGGATACAATAATAATATAATAATAATAAAAAATGCGAACTCACCGATAATTATATCCAGAGTATTCAAAATCGATCGGAAGTAGACGATAAACATTTTCCACCGTTGGATCATTTAACAGCAGTAGATTATCTAAAACAATTGAAACAATATCAAAACCTGACAGTTAGTTGTTGTAAAAGCCGTACGATGAAAAAGAAAAGACTTTCTTAACAGAGTATGAAGGTTTAATATAAAAAAACTATACAAGTGGAATAAAAAAGACTACTAATATGTACTACTTATATATATATATGAAATTTATCAATGCAACAAAATGTATATTTTCAGGCAGATAACTGACTGACTGAATGGCTTCAACGTAGAACTTTGCACCGATGTGCAGCAGTCGCAACACACTTCACTTAGCACACAAAGCAAGAGGAGAAAGTAAAAAGAAATGCAAAACAGAGATAATAAACAGAAATATGAAGCAAAAAGAATAGTGATATGGAAGAACATATAGTTTTATTGGATATTATAAGTCACAAGGAGTGGATGCATCTGCGCCAATCCATTGAGAACGATTTTCAGTCAGCCATATCACCAATTGTCTCCTACCTTCATTCGTTTTTACCGTCCCGAGGACCCCAGTCAGACAGTAGTCTACACCTCATTGACTGATTAAGCCTTGTTTTGGTTTGACCACTACCAGCTTTCTCTTTTCCAACCTGATCCTATGTCAGCGGCTAAAATTGGTCGTCGAGGAAGGCGATGGCTAGGCTAAGCATACGTAACACATGTCCTAACCATCTCGAAGTAACTTTTCCCTCCTTCCCTAGCACTCGACGCCTAACCTCAATATTGCTCACCCTGTTATACCACTTCACACGGGAGATAGAACGCAGGCACCTATGATCAAAGACATCTAGCCGGTCTATATTCATGTCTTCCACTCTCAATGACCATCTCTCACAACCAGCCATAAAGGACAACGGAGCAGACTACTGAGCAGTACACACGTCCTTTGGTCGATAGCCAGGTGGATATCACGTCCACACCAGAGATGGCGTAAACTGGCATATTTGAAACTAGCCTTCTGTATCCGAGCTGAGATTTCGTCAGCAATCAACCCGTTGGGGTTAGCTAGCGCAAATTCCCAAATAAGTGAATTGCTCAACACGCTCCACCAACCACTTCACTCCCTATTTCTAAGCTAGGAGTCATTTTCAGGTACATACAATTTACAGGTTCGATCACGAGTTGACATCAGTCAGAAAAACACTGGAAAACCTGGAAGTACTGCACGGCTATTTCACCCTAGTTTGGGACTCTTCAGTACGCAGCCCCCCGAGTTCGAACCCAGTACCTTCCAGCCACTGGGACACGATCCAATTGCCAGCCCATGAACGCTAACTTTTGCCAATTCGTGATGTACGTAGCTCAACTGCCAGTTAGTCAGTGTCATAGGCGAGCAACTGATCTCTTACTTGACTTGGTAGACCCTGCTGTTTTCGAATTATCTCTAGAATTCTAGCGAACTTTCTGTACAGAGCTAGTCCAGCTAGTAAGTATCGGCTTAATTATTACGTGGTTTCGATTTTCAGGGATTTCATTGGTTACATATTCGATCATTAGCTCACCGTGTATCTAGAATATCCTGAAAACGAACTCCCAGTGAGTGCATACTGCTTAAGAATCCTAAACTAGGATGAAACAGGTGCCCAGTACTCCCAGTGGGTTTCTCAATGGTTCTCTAACTGATGCATACCAACACACTTGATAACATACAATTTAGATAAGCTGAACTTTAATACTTTCAAATTATTGTTATGCAAGCACAAAATGTACACCAACTAACTTCGTGTAACTGATGTACACACCTGTTGGAATACAGAAAGTGTAGAAAAAATAGTATTGAAAGTATTCTCGTGTTGTTTATAAAATGTGGAATAGTGTGTTTCGTGAACTTTGTTCCAGACACCGAAAAAAAAGAAAGAGTGATAGTTTTATTCCAGTGAATTTATTATCAAAACTGTACAATCGTATACATGTACATGCCTTTTTTAAGAAATTGTATTCCGCGAGAAAATTGTAAAAAACGTATGATTATGTAGAATAATAATAATAATAGTAGTATGTATTGTAACTAAAATATTTGTGATTACAATCATGGTTAAATACCAAGTTCCAAAACAAATAATGTCATGTGTAGAATGGTTCACAAGTTGTATAAATATTCGAAGGGGGTGTAAAGTTATACGTTTAGTTTTATTTTTTATTCCCTTACATTCCTAGTGGAACCTCGGGCTTCAAGTTAGAAGCTTGAAATTTCGGTACCAGTGGTGTTTACTTTCTTTTTTACGGGATGGGATTGCTAGCCTCATGCCCAGCGCAACCTTCCCTGTCTACCAGTCTTATTACTGACTTAGCGAGGTAAAGGAGTGCATTGCGGGCCGGGGATCGAACCCCGGACCACATCCAGTGGTTGGTGAGCGTTCTACCGCTTCGCCACCGACCCATTTGTCTATGCCAGCTAACATTGCCCGTCGAGGAGGGCGATGGCTAGGCATATGTAACACGTATGTTAACTATCTCAATCGATGTAACTTCACAGGCTCATCTATTAATCTCCCTCCCCTTACCTAGAAATCGACGCCTAACCCCGATATTCACCTAGAAGGACTTTATCATCTGCATATTCAAAGTCAACGAGATTATTTCCTAGTAACAGGTCAATTCCTGAGTCGGGTGCCGGTGTTGAGTATGACTATGTTCCAGAATCTGTCGAAGGGTGAAGATATGATCAATACACCCTCTTCCTTCCTGGTCTAGAACCTGCCTGGTTCTCTCGTGTTTGTTCCTCCAGGGAACCACTTGTTTATGAGCTGAAATCCAACTTGTGTAGTACTCAAACTAAACCAGTGCATACTTGAAGTAATTCTTGATAAATGGTCACTAGCAGTGGAATCAAGGACATGTGTCAACTTTAAATATGGTGTTAAATACACTAGTCAATCGTATGCATAATTACGAATACTGTTTTAATAAGTAGCTGTACAGTAAATAGACAAAATGGCAATGAGTTTAGAATTTCAATAGGACAATATACATCAGACTATTGAAAAAAAGGCCTTCGATAGCGTTGACTGCTGAGTAATTTGGGAACTACTTCAACATCACTGAGTGAAGTGCTTGAAATATTTATCAACCTCATTCAACAGCTATATCATAATGCTACGTATCAGGTGATCCACAACAGTTACCTCAATGAAGCCTTTGAATTGAAGACAGGAGTAAGACAAGGCTGTCAGCCTACTATTCACGATGATATTCCTAATTTTTTTGGACTGGATTTACCGGAAGACTGCAGGTAGCGACAAGACAGGAAAACGTTGATCTGATAAGAAGATCTGGATTTCGCGAATGATTTGTATCTAATGTCATACTGTCCGAAAACCAACTAGCTGCCAGAAGACGCAGGCAGTAAAGACAGGATTTCAAATGAATATAGAGAAGACAGAGGTGATGAAGATAACCAACCAACAGCGAGAACAAACACCAGTCACTTATGTCACCAGGCAGTATCCTCTCAGCTACAAGCAACTCCACAGATGAGGATGTCACAACCAGACAGGATCGGAAAGGCATGATAAACCATCATTAATATATGTGTAAAACTTGGGCACTGTGGTAGTAATTAATTGCATGTTAGTTTGTTTATTAGATGTATCACAGTGTGAGTGAAACAGTATTATTTACTGGATGATGTTTCGGACAAAATTTATTGTTCATAATTATATCAATTACAATCACAACTTCGAAACTTGAGTTTTATAGTTTTCTTTGTCTTTTCCTATTTGTCGTCGTTGGGATAGTCGAATTTTCCAGATATCTGGACGGACAGGTGTTGAATCATTCCTGTTGCACGTGTTTGCAGTTGATTCGATAAACAAAGCCTCCATTATCAATCTCTCCCTCCACCCTATTGTTGCATTACATTTTAAAAGTGTCATCTTATCCCATCCAGTCTATTGTATGGTTGTGTGTAATTGCATGCAGTGAGTAGTATGGTTGAACTATTCTTCAGATTTCTTATCTTATTCAGGTCAACCAATCTAGGTTTTGCTAGGCAGGAATAAAAGTGGCTAGCATTCAAACCCACAAACTTAATTAGAAGCAAGATTTGTCAGTTACAGGATCTAATTAATACCCTGCCTGCAATGATTGTCAGGTCAAATACATAGGTCAAACTAGTAGAACAGTGGCAGTCAGTCAGACTAGGCGAGCATAAAAACCTAGCAAAATCTAGATTAGTTGACCGGAATAAGATAAGAAATCTAGAGAATAGTACAGCTATAGCACTCACCACATGCAGATACACACAACAATACAATAGGATTATGGGATAGGATGGCAGTTTTAAAATCTAATGTAACACCAGGGTGGAGGGAGAGATTGATTACAACAGAAGCTTTGTTTATCGAATCAACTGCAAATACGTGTAACACGAATAATTCAATACCTGTCCCAGATATCTGGAAAATTCTACTACCTCAACGATGACGAATAAGAGAGAACAAAGAAAACTATAAAACTTAAGTTTCGAAGTCGTGTGATTATAATTGATGTGATTATCAACAACAATAAATTTTGTTTGAAACGTCATCCAGTAAATAGCAATACTGTTTCACTCACAATGTGATACATCTAATAAATACACTAATATGGAATGACAGACCTTCCGTCTCAAATCATTTTGTGAATCCACTGCACTCAGCATAGAGGCCAAAATTCAGATTTTCAACACCAATGTTAAGTTAGTCACTTCTTCTATATGTTTTGAGAAACTTGCAATGCGTGTCACGCATTTCAATCAGGTTCATGTGCACTTTTTCTGACTCCAAAGTGAAGTTCAGATGGTCGATCAGAAATAATTACCCGCTAGGAACTCTGGAAATGAACCAATCAAGTACCTATTGTTCACTAAATATTCCAAAGAAATGACAGAGGATCAGATACATGTGTCGGTTGCCGAGTGACTTTGCTCTCCAGACCGTCGCTCGAGCGGAACCCAAATAGGTAACGATGAGTGAGGGTGACATGGAGAAGGTGAAATTATGGACAATCGTGTGTCCAGGTAGCTATATGAG